GGAAATAGCCTCCAGGGTGAATGCATTACCTTCCTCAATAGTTTGATGGCTTGAAAGAATTGTTAAAGTCACTGAGCTGGGCACTAGAGCTTGAAATTTCAAGTCCTATTATATCTTTAGAATATGATCAGGTGAGTAGGCATACCGAAATCATGTATGTACACTAGAGTATGTCAATTATTTAATTGGGACAGTCTTACGGTACAGTATAGGTTAAAATCTCAGAGAATTACGTTCATTAAAAAGCAACCACACTGGCTTTATCCAACAAAGGTGGTAGAAACGGTGAGGGGAACCTTTCAGTCTGTGGAAGCATTCTAATGCATTTGCAGGTTTTTGTGGTTACACCTGCTGAATAAAAATGGTGATGTTTACTTAGTGTTGTGGCTACACCCTGGACCATAAAAATGGCATTGTATTTTTAAAAAGATTACTGTGTCAAAATCAAGTGATTTTAATGTGTTCTGTTTCTCCAGTACCTTCATGCAGAAAACCATGTTAGAGGCCAATAACCACAGAACATGTCCTAAACACCCAAAGCACTGAATAAAATGTGTCTGGTTGTTAGTAATAGCTGAGGAGTATATTATGGGTTGATAATTAATGTATTACTAATGTAGCTCATAAATATTTTGCTTTAAAATTTTCTCACCCATTAAAAATCCACAGATGAGAAAAAACACAATCATAACAGCAATATTCTCCTTGTAGATTTGTTCCCCTGGGAATTGGTGACTAGATGAAATTAATGAATCAAAGCATCCAACTCCTACAAACTCATGATTAATTTTTAGAAAATATTATGAAGTTAAATTGCATTATTATTTAATGGTCAAAACAGACCACTTTACTAAATTGGTATATAGTAAATGGAGTCAATGCTTCTGAGCATAATTACGTGGTATATTGCTTTCATTATATTAGGGCCTGTTAGCCCAGTGTTAAGCAATTCTAAATCCTTTAAGCCATTTTCTCCTTCTGCTATATGATACCCAGAAAGAAATTTTAAAGATACTACTCAAATGACTTTACAAGTTCAGCAGTGTCAAAGAGCCTTCTCCTTTTTTAACATTTCAGCATTAATGCGAGAACATATCACATGAAAATTTAATTGGAAAACCTATCATTTAAATTTTGAAAGAAATGCATGGAAATTCTTGACTTCTGTCTCATTTCTCTCCTTTTGCCAAGTGATAAAATCCAGCATATTGTACCCCAAGTCATGCATTATTACATAGTGCAGGTTTACAAAACCACTAAATCACTTGCTATGTTATTCAGGGAAATATCATTATAGTGGCAGAGAAATGAAACAAGCCAAAGAACAAGATGTTTTACTGAAATAAATCAAATCTAAGTCTGCCTGTTGAAAGATTTTCCAAGGCAGAATCAAAACATATCTAAATGAATATGAAGCCCAATTTGAGCTAAGAATCTGACAGAATGTCCACATTGCATGGGATGATAGGCAATTTGACTGTTTGTAAACGTCTATGAACTCACTAATGAGATCACAGGCTTAACATGGGCAGATTATAAGCAGCCTCTGTCCTCAAATCAAGCCATGTATTTACAATCTCCTAAGTATAAATGGATATTCAATGAAATCATTCAAAAATTCTTGAAACTGGAGAAGCCTCAGAGCATGAAAATTTAGTTCCTTCTTTAACTTTTAGATATGTTAAGATTAAGTTGTTAATTTCAATGCATATATCATAGTTAAGTAATAAAAAGACATGAATGGAAAAAAGAACTCTGAAAACTCAGGTGATATAATCAAAGATGTGTAAATGAGCTAAGCTTCTGAACCAGCCTGGTACAGGGGGGTTTACATGAACTAGATTTGGAAAGCCCTAAATCAAAGGGCTTTCTTTCTTTTTTTTTTCCTTTCTAGGTAGTAGACTAATTGGTATTTTCCTGGATATTTACCTATTACCTACCTCAGTTTTCTAATAATTGTGGTGAACAGCTGAAGTTAGACTTGAACTTCTGTACTCATGAACAGCTGATTAGAATATTATAATTTGGCTTAAATTAAAATGCAAAAAAGTACTGTTTGTTTCATTTCAAAATGTGATTGGGCATAGGGATTGAAGGAGTTAGAAAAATGAGTGATACAGGAAGAGAATAAATTGTATGCACAGTTTACAATCTATGGTTAGATAAGACTGCTAGAATGGTTCCCATTGAAGCACTATTTTCTCCCTTTCTGTCCTCCGTCTCACTAACATAGCAGAAGCTGCCACAGCAATATCCTCACAAAGCTTTGAGGTCAACCTGGACTTTCCTGTGCTAAGTTCTGTGCTATGGCTGCACGGCAGCTTGGGATGCTACGTGAATGGCAGAAAAGAAAACGAGAATTCTCGTTTACGCATCCTAATTCTTGTCTGTTTCACATAGGTGCGTGCTAGTGCGATTGCCCAAGATGCTGATCAGAATTACGACTATGCCAGTAACAGTGTGGTTCTTCATTTGGAGCCGGGAGACGAAGTCTATATCAAATTAGATGGCGGGAAAGCCCATGGAGGAAACAACAACAAATACAGCACGTTTTCTGGATTTATTATTTATGCTGACTGATGATGATGCAGAAACTAAGCTTATTGTTCTGAGTTTGAACAATGGATTCGTATGGCTAACGTCAGTGAATCAAGGATCCCAAGGGATGCCAATTGCGGGGCACCTCAGTTGTGTATATGTGGGGAAATCAAATGCTACCTGACTCACATCTGTATCACTCAGAAACATTATGTAAAAATATCAAAGCAAGATAAACAGATGTGTGATCCACAACCGCCAAAGCAAATACTCCTATCGTTAGTGTCCATGTGAATGAAGTCCTATATAGATCACAAATTTTTATAGACAAATCTAAGACATTGAATTATTTCTTCAATATATATGATACTTTGGTGTACTGTGATCTTGCTGCTTTTATCCATATGTCAGCTTTGGTTCTTGTGAGTTTACCTGCTTATTATGATACTTGGAGTCCATTCATAGTGTGGGGAAGAACAATTTTTACCCTGCAGGAGAAGGTCTAATTGAAATAATGCTGCTTGTCCCCAAAGAAATTGTTTGCCTTGTACTCTTGTTAACTTTAGAGCTAGACCTGGGAATGATTCAACTTCAAGCCTTAACCTGGAATTTTCTGGATTTGAGGGAATTCCCAAGCCTATGATCATTTTCACATTTTCTTTTTCTTATATGAATTTTCTTTTCTCTCTTTTCTGGTGATAGTCTTTAAAAATAGAGATTGACAGTGTATCATAGGATTACCCTGCAAGTGTGAAAATGTGTAATTATGTACGGTATTTAGAAAAAGCCCTTATGTGTCCATTTTGTCAACTGAATACATTTAGATTCACTGGGAAAGTCAGAGAAATGCATTCTTCAGTATCAAATCAAACCAAGGCTTTTGCCATCTTTGGAAGAAAAGATTATTCATAACCCAATGCACAAAGGTTTAATTTGAGCTGCTGCATATGTCACCAAGGGGACACTAGGTAAAGCTTCAAATGGTTACTACAAGTCTGTGGCCTGAGGTTATTTCAAAATTAACAATTTCACATATAACCAATATGACAACAGAGTGTTTATATTTTATACAAGTATCTGCTACACACACACACACGTTAGATGAAATGTTTTATATACACATAAAACATGTATACATATGTGGCTTTATTCTATAGGGTACAGTGGCTGTACTGCCTCAAAATTTTAATATAAAAAGTATATGCATATATATATACACACAAACCTGCATAAATTATTTAACTTCTTTTGGGTTGAAAGATATTTTGAATGACAACATGTGAAGTAGCAAAAACAATTAAAATGGATTCTCTTTAAGAGTTCTCCAGAAAATTAATTTTATGAGGTTAAAATGCCCTTTATTTCACAGGTCTGTAAGGTAAGGCTATGGTTGCTGTATGACCATACGCCAATCAATACTGTAACTGCATTCCGTGGCAGACTGTTAATAGGAGGACTGCAGATGCCAAGTGGCTCTCCTTTGCAGTGTTTATGAATTACATGCATTGGAGCTATCATTTTTTTTCTTTTTTCTCAGGTGGATTTAAGCTGACAGTACAGTAGATTTGGAGAGTAATACAAATCCTTTCTTTCTGGTTAGAACACACTGCCAAAAGCCATTTCTTTCATCTAAGGAAAAGATTAAAAATGCATGTTGATATCTCCTAACTATCACACAACTTCCACGATTACAATGAAAAATCTGTTCCCCTTCCAATTGCCTTTGAAGACTCTTTGACAAGTAGATTTCAAAAACAGAGATTTAAAAAAAAAATCTGCTTGCTTTACTGGTGAGGACATTTGCATTTTTTATTTAAAGGAATTAATTTGTTCTCCTGGCTCCTTCCTCTTTGGTACTTTCTATTCCAATACACAGAAAGCCTCATCATCTTTGAGCAGCAGAAATATCTTTTATTTAGCGAAGCTCAACTTTCCAAGAGGTATGCATGGTGTTCCTATCTGAAGGTGATGTTAGCTCTGTTGAAATGCCTGGGTCTGAGTAACTGTCACGATTTATATGATTAAAAACAGACACTTCATCAAGAATAATGACTAATTCTAATTGGCCTTTGTGATAGGTAAGATAACTCATAAATGAATCACAATGGATTTTATTTCAAATTAACAATATATATTTATCAAAGAGGAATTGGCAGCAAGGGTTTGGATAATATTTGTAGGCTCCAAATAGCATAGTGAGGATTCAACCAAAAGATTAATTTATAAGTAGCAGTCAGTGCCCATCACCTAAGTGTTTTAACTAAGAGTTTTTAAAAATGCTTTATTTACACAAAATATCAGGGCTGGATACCTTTTAAAGAGTAGGCTCTAGTATCGAGCTGTCATTTCCAATAGATCTGACCTTTTCTTCAGATAAATAAGCATGATTTTCTCTGTGTAGGGCCAAGGAAAAACAAAACGTAAAGGAAATAAAGGGAATATATATAAGGCAAACATTTCTCTTTTTTTTTGCATTATATCTTATCAATTAATTAAATTGTGGCCTTTGTTATTATAAATGTAATGATTCATTAAACTATATTATGTAATATATTTTGACGTTTATGATTGAATTTTTATAATTTAGTAGTGGAATGTGTTCTTACACAAACTTTGCAAAAGAGCAAAATTTATGGCAAAAATGGATACCAGGAAGCCAAAGATATCAAAATCATTTTATTAGAAGAATATATAGCTAGGTGGACGGCATAAAATGACCTTTCAAATATTTTTATCATTGTGAATTGGTAACCATATTACAGTCAGTATCCTTTGGGGAAAAAGTCTCAAGATTTAACTTCCCTTGTTGCAGAAGCTATTTTAAAGCGCCATATTATTCATTAAGCATTAATTAAAGAACAGCAGGATAATTAGTAGGATCATCAATATTACAATAAACATTAGATTTTCAAGAAGGGAATCATTTAACTAGAAACACTTTAAATTTTCTCAAGTAGTGCAGCTGATAGATTAGGAAGAAAAACAGCAACTCCACTTAGGGGATACAGACTTTAAATCACTGTTTTGAAATAGGTACTTCTGTATTTATTGTGTTAAGGCACAATAATAGGGCTCAATTAGGCTGAGTAATCCCTAGAGGCACAGGTTAATAGCTGGTCTCAGAGAAGGCAAATTCTCCTAGTTCTCACAAGAAGGAAATGATCAGTCATTAGTGCTAGGTAACTGATTAATATCTCACAGTGGATTGGAAATCCCTGAATGTTGTCTGCAAGTTTTATACTCAAGGTGTGAATTCATAAGCAACCATCCTATTTGAAAGTCAGCCATTGCTTAGGGTTCTCTATTAGAATCTTATCAAGTACATTCTCAGTTATACCTCTAAGTAGCATTTTAGGAACGACGTTGGTGAGTATATGAGAATAGCCATGACCTCCATATTTCATCAGCCGGGTTTTCGTGTGTATGTCATGTGCTATCAGAATTCCATCTTCATAGCCCTCCTCTACCAGGAGACGCACCCTGTGAAAAATGTTAACTCATTAGATGTCATTTGTCTTTCACTTTCTCTGTTCAGGGTGCTTTCGACTTTTTACTCATTAACCTATTGTGCTTGTCGTAAAGATACTGCCTTCTACTGTGGCGTGTGTACTGAGAGACCTTCAATAAATATTGTGTGGTGATGATAAAAATATTGCTGCATCCTGGTAGGAACATATCCGTATTCCATGCACACAGAAATTTCTAACCAGTGAGATTTATGACAATGCCTGGCAATACTGCATTAAAGATAGCTTCGAATAGGATGTGCCATTTTGAACGAAGGACCACTTTAGCATTTCACTAAATAACTTTGTTCTGGGTTTGTATTCAGCTCTCCTCTCTCAAATGCCTCTTTTGTGGGCCCATTTTTCAGATCTCATTCTTTCTCTCTCCTTTTATCTAGCAAAAAAAAAAAAAAATCAATGACTATTTGCTATTAAAATAGGGAAACAAAAGGAATCTCACTACAAGCAAAGTATTTTGAGAGCAAGATCAATTGGTTTGCAAGTGAGGGACATTTGATAAGCCACAAAGCAAGCCACTTGAAAAGGTTGGTAAGGGTACCTCAGTATTTTAACCACTTGCCCCTTTGAAGTCTATGGCAATTTTGATTTAGTTGTAGTCTCTGAGCACTGGATTAAACTGACCAAAACAAATGTATTCTGTCTTCCTCCCATGTCAGCGAGACTGCTAAAATAATAAGATATTTCTTTAAATTTATAGTCGGTGGACTAAAGGACAGTTTCCTGACTATTCTCTAAAAATGAACTCCTCTTTGCTTTGTTGAATGCTGGAATCTGTAGTGTGAGTCACCTCCTGACAGCCACCATCTGTACATGTCTGGACTCTGGGCAGTGTCTGTCGTGACTTCCATGGGTCTTTGATGGTGGAAGATGCCACTCACGGACAATAGCTCTTCTCTGGGATTCTCTGAATAGTTTTTCAGCATCTAGATTCTAAAGCGGATCTAGATGGACGAACAGTGCCTTCTTCCAGAAGCTGATTATTTGAAAGGTATCTTTTTTATTTCTAAAGCGTTTCCTGGTGTCCTAGTACATGAGTCATATTTAATAACTACTACAGTGAGCAAAATGTGGGACACTACACACACACACACACACACACACACACAAAAACTCAAGCACAAAGCCCTGCCCTCCCAGAACATATATTTTAAAATAAATTATAATGGAAGAATAGACCTTGTATCTGCAGGTAAAAGGGAATGCCAGCACCAACAGACATGGCTGTCCTGTAAGTGCACGGAATGACTTTTGTGCCACTAAGATTTTCTGCCTCAGTGAAATTTGTGTAATATCCTCAAGTTCTGATCTGCAGTTACTTTTAAAACATACTCAGTTTAAGGGAATTATCTAAGTTACATGATCACATAAAAAAAAGAGAAAGATTTGACAGAATGCATACACAATGCTGAACCTTAGTGTGACCACAGCTGCATAGAAGCATCGTGGTATAGGAGGTTTGAGGAAACAATTTCTCCCTGATATTTTCTGGGCATTATCTGAAATTTGTGCCTCTCTTTCTTATCTGAGAAATATGATTTCTCATATTATAAAGACATATCATGTGGCTAAACAAAATCCTCTAAGATGTCTGGTGTCAGGCCTTGAAACACAATGTTATCAAATCGTGAAGTAGTAATCAAAGAATATAGAGGATAAGATATTCATATTTAAAACTGGGAATCCTTAGAGCCCATCGAGTCAAGAGTCCAGAGACTAGTTATCTCATGAGAAAGATAACGTTATGGCTCTGGACACACAATTATATCCTGACTATCAAGAAAACCTGCCCCGTCCCGCTTACACTAAAAGATCATCTCTTATGTTGTGCCATTATACGGAAGAACAGGAGCTACGGAGATGCTGCCAGAAAGGGGGAGCCACTACAGATGAGAAGACAAAAAATCACGGTAATTATAGAAATACAAATGAGTTAGTGTTTGCAAACAAATATTAGAGAGAGACTACAAAGTGTGAAAAGGCAGAGATATAATAAGATTTGAGAAATGGAGCAGAAGATTGAAAACAGGTGTTAGACACAGAATTTCTGGTGCTGAGCACCAGAGGTAGGCAGAAGCGTGCTTCTGTGTTCCTGCACTTTAGAGGTTTAAGGCTACGATGGCTCACAAAAGGACCGCAGATGCATGATGAACACCAAGTGTGTCAGAGAGTGCGGCACTGGAACACGTGCAACCCAAGAGGGTATTCTGTGCTTAACATGGGCTGCGCTTGGGTCAGGTCACCTAATGCATGATTTCAGGAGATTAAGCACACATACATATACATATGTATGGAATAGCACACAGGCATTTTATAGATATAAATGTGTATGTATATATATACATGTATACATTTATATCTATAAAATATGTGGTTCCTACTCCATTCCTTAAATGTCTCTGTCCCCAGGTCTCTGTCCTCATCCTCTTCTCTGAGTGACGTCATTCATTCCCACAGTTCAACTCTCATGTACAAACCTTATCTTAGGGCTTCACTGGATTGCATATACATATACACACACATTTATATTATAATAAATTGTACGCACATAAATGTGTGCATAAACATATTTATAATAATTTTTATTATTTCCATACATCCGGAATGGCTATATTTAGCACAATGCAGATAAACAAATAGCCAAAAGAAGCTAAGAAGAAATGCTGCGGGAGCCATCGGTCATCCAACCATTCTATCTCCTTCATAGACGACCTTTTACAGACCTTCTTACTCTCGTTCGGGAAGGTCTGGGAGCCTCATGTTAAGACACAGGCGTGCAAAAGATGCACCTCACTGCCACAAAGGGGCTTGGGAAAAGGAAGCCGATTCAGACTGCAAAGTTCCCATTTCGAAGATGATGTAGAAGATGTGTTGAGGGCGCTGATAAGGAAATCATATTTTTGAGATTGTGAAAGATGAGAATGACTGAACGTACTGCCCTATTTTAAATTCCAGATGCCTTTAGGCAAGGAATAGTGTCCTCTGAATATAAACTAACTACGAGGGCTCTGGAGAAACCGGTTCACCTGTATTGAATGGGGTTCCTGGGCAAGTAAATTAAAATAATAAAATAAAAATAAAGAAACCATACAACTACTTGTCAAATAACTGATCTGAGTATTAAAAAAGAAAGACGGCGCTTCACTGGTCAAGGCAGTTGAAGTCATTTGCTCACGTAGAGTTGAGTGTCGCCGTATTACATAACTAGTGCAACACTGATTAACTCTCTTTCCCTAATGATACTAAACTTGAACATATTACTTCTAATGACGTGGTCAAGGCAGAATGCCAATACATGGAGAGAGCAGAAGCATACAGACACAAATGTTGACTCCTCAGGCAAAGATCCTCAGGATGTCCCAGCCATGGCCACTGGCTCAAGATCTTCCCCTCAACCCAATGTGCCTTATTCAACTATGGATACTTGAATCTCATGGTTCCTGGACATCACTTCTCAATTCCAGCTTTGCTCCTTCCATTGCAACCATTTTTTCTGTACTCATCATCATATTCTAGTTCTTGTCGTCAAAGGGAACTGCTGCCCCCCCGCTGAAATCTCAATCTTCAGTTTCCTGTTCTGATCATGTTACCTCTTACTATTTTTTCCACTCACTTCTTCAACTGTATATATACATATACATATGCATACACACATACTCCACCTACTTCATTAAAGCCTGCAGTCCAGTTATTTGCCCTACTATACTTCTCCTTCGATCTGCCCATTCCTCTGTATATTTTCTTCCCTCCAGCTTGGATCCCATGACCCTCAGTCTCAACCCCTCCTTTGTTACCCATTTCTTTTGGATAGAATCCCAACCTTCAATCTTTTGAACTGTTCCCATGTCCTGCTTATATGCACACAGCTTCTCTGGTTCCATTACCAAAACGCAAAACATTTTTGCTTTTGGAAAATAATCATTCAATCACGTGCACTGGTGCCAATATGCAGGCATGCAATCATGATTTCTAGAGTCAACGGGGTCTCACACTTAACACATCCATATCAATCTCTCTCTCACTGACCCGAGAGCCATTCCTAGCCTTCCTCCTGCTCCACGTGGTCCTGCCCTAAATCCACTCTTTTTTTCTCAGGAGATAATCACGTCTACCTCACAGAGACACTAGAGGACATGTGGCCATGTGTCCTCAGTCTCCTGCTCCCCTCACTAAGACTTTCATTTGCATTCACCCCATTGCTTGTGTCCTGCCCTCTCATTTCGATGGAGAAACCATCCTTTCAACCAATGTTCTGTTTGTTCCCTAGATTTCCTCAATTTGTCACCTTAGGAGCCTTGCTCTGTATTTCTTATCTATCCAGATTTTAAAAAATCAACATCTATTCAACACTTCCATATTCTGCACCACTCAGATAAAAACTTGGCATGTGTCATTTCATGTAAATTCTATAGAGACCCTGTGGAATGGACACCACTTCCCTGAACTCATTCTTTCTGGCTCCGTCTCTGCTCTTGCTCTTAGTCACATAAACATTGGTCAACTCTTACTAGAAACTTCCCTTGACCCTTTGTTTTCTTCTAGCTCCAGACCCATCTCCTTGCGTCCCTCCACTGCCATGCTTCTCGAAAGAGTCACCTAAACATCCCTCTCCTCTTCCTCATGGCTTTTCTCCCGAGACTGCACTTACTGTCTATAAAATGTGACCCTCCTAATTGTGAAAAACAATGGATGCTTTTCAGTTTTTATTTCCCTTGATATCTGTCACATAGTACACGCGTTCAAGCCCTTCTGCCCTGAGCCTTCCTCTCTACTGACTTCCATAACAACACATATCCCTGATGTTATCACTTTGAAAACTTCTCAACCTTTCCTTCAGTGGTTCCTACTCCATTCCTTAAATATCTCTGTCCCCAGGTCTCTGTCCTCATCCTCTTCTCTGAGTGATGTCATTCATTCTTACAGTTCAACTATCATATACAAATCCTATCTTAGGGCTTCACTGGATAGCAACAATTAGATTTTCCCAAACAAAAGTCTTCTTTGTCAATCTCCAGTTTATTTCTCCTCCTAGATTTTCTAACTTGGTTCATTCAATCTTCATATTACCATGTGACCAAGACGAAACTAGGTAGCTATGCCTAAGGTTTTCTACTTGATTACAAAGAATGACTCCTACAATTATCTACTAGCATCACACATCATACAATTTTTGAAGGTTGAATTCATTTTACACGATGTTTGGTCTTTAGACTTTATACTTTTAGCATATAACTTGAGATTGCCTTTTTAATAAAAACTTTTAATAAAGCATTTAAAATATTACTTATAGGAAGTTATGGCTTTAGTGTGGTCAACCTGAGAGATGAACAGCTTATTTCACTAGGGGTAAAAAGAGGAAAATGTCTTTTGTTCTCTGATTTTCATGGCAGGGGTTGGGTATTATCTGTGTTTCCTGTCAGCTGCCCATCTGCACTGAACTTCTAAGGCTCTGCTAAGCTTTAGCCTACTTAGGATGACTCATTTTCTCCTTAAAATAATATAGAGAGATTTTTCTCCCTGAAACAGCATAGATATATTTTTCTCTGCAAGTCTGTGGTTCAGCCTCCTTACTGTTTTCTGAATCTCTGCTAATACTTCCCTAGATATGACAATCAAAAAGGGCAAGGGAAAGAGAATGCTGTGGGAGACTTCACCATATTTACCTTTTAATTCTTTTGTTATCATCAGGCATGTCAATATCTGGGCCGAGCTGGTAATGAAGTAATTCAGTACCAAAGAGATCATATTCCAAGTAGCAGCCAAGCTGAGCAAACTCCAAGAGCTCCTTCTTATCAAGTATAGTCCTAGAGAAAATATGAAGACATACTGTTACGACGAAGAGCCCATTTTCCGCATGTACAGAGTAGTTTTAAGCACACTGTGTACAAGAACACAGTTGAAGTCAAGTAACAGAAACTGCTAAAATAGCTCTTAATGATGTGACTATGAAACAGTAGGTTCAATTTGTTACCAGAAATAACAGAACTTACTCATCGAAAAGGGAGATTTCCCCTCTAAAGTACGTGGGTACTACAGACTTAGTTTAATGAAGCTTCCATTATTCCAAAGCAAGTTTGGAACTCTCCCTCAGAACCGTGTTCAGAATATGCCCCCGCATTCTTGAGATTCCTTAACGGGGTAAATTTTCATCCTCTAAGGACTGCTATGAACTATGAGAACTGTGGAAGGAAATCTGGCCTCAGGTCTGGCGAATTAGGTGAGTAATGCTAATCTGGGTAACTCATGAAGCTTTGCCTTATGGTAGCAGGGTGATTTTCTTGTGAAGATTGTAAAGTGATTCTAAAATTAATTCTAAAGCCTTTAAAGAATATCGTTCCAACATTTTCTTTACAGCACAACACTCATATAGACATTTAAGTTCTGGAGTACTTATTTTTTAAATAAAATTTATTATTTTATGATAAATTTTATGGATATCTTCTCATTTCAATAGATATCATATAAAGAATATAACTATTTTAGGATGTAAGATTATGTAAATGAATGGGAAAGGAGAGAAATGTAAGACAAGTACAGGCTACAGACGAGAGCAGAGTATAGAACAAGAGTAGATTATCTCAAGAAATTTACATTATAACAAGTAAAAAGAGATGCATTAAGGTAACCCCAAAATACCATTGTAGAGATCCAATCACGCAGAGAGCTAAGAAGAAATGAAAACATCCTAGCAGAAGACAATATGGGAGAAAAATGTGAAGGAAAAATATAGTCCATTAGACACTGCGTGAAGGGAATGAAGGAAAAATACAGCCCATTAGACATTTCATGGAGGGAATGAAGGACCTAGAGAAAGAAAGGGATTGTTTGGGATCCAAAACTGGCCTGGAGATGAGTTGAGAACATTAGACAGTCATTGTCTTACTAGCTTTTCATCCACACTGATATTTCTAGTACTTTGGCAACTCCACAACGTGAGGATTAAAGCACTGTGTTGTGGCAGGGCGTGGTGGTTCATGCCTATAATCCCAGCACTTTGGGTGGCCAAGGTGGATGGATTACCTGAGGTCAGGAGTTCAAGACCAGCCTGGCCAACATGGCAAAACCCCATGTCAACTAAAAATTAGCTAGGCATGGCGGTGGGTGCCAGTAATCCCAGCTACTTGGGAGGCTGAGGCAGGAGAATTGCTTGAACCCAGGAGACGGAGGTTGCAGTAAGCTGAGATCACACCACTGCACTTAAGCCTGGGCAACAGAGTGAGACTGTGTCTCAAAAAACAAAAACAAAACAAAAGTTAGCTGGAGGTGATGGCGGGCACTTGTAATCCCAGCTACTTGGGAGGCTGAGGCATGAGAATCGCTTGAACTCAGGAAGCAGAGGTTGCAGTGAGCTGAGATTGTGCTGCTGCACTCAGCCTGGGTGACAGAGTGAGACTCTTGTCTCAAAAAAAAGCAGTATTATATGACCAGGCGTGGTGGCTCCCGCCTGTAATCCTAGCACTTTGAGACACTAAGGTGGGTGGATCATTTGAGGCCAGGAGATCGAGACCGGCCAGGCCAACATGGTGAAAACACACCTCTATTAAAAATACAAAGAGAAAAAGAAAAAAAGCACTATTATGTGTCTATAAATCTGTTTCTAAGAGGACAGAAGTATTTTTCAAAGCTTTTCTTACAAACCATAGGAGGTCTAATTAAGCCTCCCTGTGCCATGGGTTGAAGAGGTTTCTCCTTTCCTGGGAGTTGACTATTGACTTTCATTCTGAGCTATCATACCCTGGCTGGCTCCTTTCCATTTTATTCATCAATTTAGCATAACATAGAGTTCACGATGTTGTTTTAGGCAGAGAGGCTAAAAAATCTTTCCATTATACTATAAAATGTACATTAGTTCTGTGCTATCTTCTATTAATACTACTCGTTTTCTGTCTTCTTACCATGGAGACCATCTTTTGCTTCCAAAATTACTAGGCTGAAAGAATATGTGTTTTTCCATAGAAAACATATTCTGTTTTCCCCAAAGAACCATTCTTGAAGAAAAAAAAAAAAAACAAAATATACACAATCAAAGTAACGTAAGCCGGAAGAGGTTAAGTTTAGTATTTTTCCTTTTGAGTAAATTCAATGTGTTAATTATCCAATATGGGCAAGGTAGTGGGGGAGGGGAGGAGTTGGGACGGAAATGGACCACCAGTGACGGGTTGGATCGTACTCCTATTTCTGCTCCTAATATATTTTTCTTTCTTTTGGCCCAATGCCTTGAGACTAAGTTTTCTAAATTTTCAGTGCAATATCGAGGCATATACTTAATGAAAAGTCCATGGTAAATGTAAAGCCATAGAAAAGTCTTTACCCTTAGTGCCAATTGCAAATAAAAATAAAGTCACTTAGCAACATTATCATCATACTGACAACTGTAGGAACTTACCATGTGTCTGACATTGTGCAAAGGACATTACATTTATTATCTCATTTAATACTCTCCATAATCCTAGCAGGTCTCAATTTTAAAGATCAAGAAACTGGGACTTGAGAGATTAGATACTGACTCAAGGTAATGTGCTAGAATTTAAATTCATCTCCAGGTTAGAACTTACTCTCTTAACCACCACACTATATGGCTTCTACTATTGTTAAATATATGTATTTTTTAACTCAAAGGACATTTTCCAGAATTACAGTGACTGAATGTGTACAGAGTGTGTTTTAATTTTTAACTTGAAATTTGATTTCCTCCCCATGGTACCTTCAAACTGCACTTGGAAAATGGAGAATTTACCATTAAAGGGTAGTATGGGGGGAAGAAAGTGAAAATCCCAGAGAGATAAGAAAGGATTCACTTGTGGAGATTTTCAGTTGCTAAGTCAGAGGGTAACTACATATAATAAGCAGGATTAAGTCTTTACAAGTTATTTTTGACAATTTAAGTGACATAATCAATAGAGAAAGGGATTATGGTAATCACGACAACTGCTTACTTTCTTACTGTGGGCTATATATGTGTGTGATATATATGTGTGTGTGTGTGTCTGCGTGTGTGTATGTACTTATTCCTTTTTTTAAACTGACATTTAGTGATATGACCCCCTCTGGATAACTAAACACTAGTGTGAAGTCAATTAAGAAATGAATATTATGGGAACTCACGCCTATAATCCTAGCATTTTGGGAGGCCGAGGCAGGTGGATCACTTGAGGTAAGGAGTTCAAGGCCAGCCTGGCCAACATGGTGTAACCCAGTCTCTACTAAAAATATAAAAATTAGCCAGGTATGGTGGCACATGCCTGTAATCCCAGCTGCTGGGGAGGCTGAGGTAGGAGAATCGCTTGAACCCAGGAGCAGGAGGTTGCAGTGAGCCGAGATAGCACCACTGCACTCTAGCCTGGGTGACAGAGGGAGACTCTGATGCAAAAAAAAAAAAAAAAAAAGAAAAAAGAAATGAGTATTACAAATATTAAGGGGCACAGAGGCAACTGCGATCACTTGATCAGGCCTCTCTCCTGACGCCAGACCTGAAATCCAGCCGTCTGCTTGCCATCTCTACTTGGATGCCTAAGCAACTTCAACCTTCACATCTCCCACACCGGACCTTTCATCTGCCCCCGAAACTGGCTGCCCCACTCTTGACTGCTTTCTTCCTCTGACATTCTACATTTAATCTATTGGGAGAGTATTTTGGCTCTACCTTCAAAATACAACTGGAATCCAGATATATCATGAGCTCCCATACCACCCTTCTGACCCAAATCACCCTCGTCTGTTGTCGGATCGCTGCAATAGATATCAAATTATTCTCTCAGCTTTTACCTTTGCTCAATTACAGTCTGTTCTACACACTGCAATTAAAGTGCCACTTCCATACCTAAGTCAGACTAAGTCTCTCCTCTGCTTAGAACTCACCAACGACTTTCTATTTCCCTCGAGTAAAAGCCAAGGCCTTATGGTGGCCCATGGGGCACGATGTGATCTCTCTTCACATGGTCTTGCAAACCCTCATCTAAAAGAGGAATGGGGGCCAGGCGTGGTAGCTCACGCCTGAAATCCCGGCACTTAGGGAGGCCGAGGACGGTGGATCACTTGAGGTCAGACGTTTGAGATCAGCCTGGCCAACATGGTGAAACTCCAACTCTACTGAAAATATCAAAAATTAGCTGGGCATGGTGGCACGTGGCTGCAGTCTCAACTACTTGGGAAGCTAAGGCAGGAGAATCACTTGAACCTGGAAGGCGGAGATTGCAATGAGCTGAGATTACACCACTGTACTCCAGCTTGGGCAACAAAGCCAGCCTCTGTCTCAAAAAATAAAGTAAAAGAGAAATGGGGTGGTGGCAGGCATGGTAGTTCATGCCTATGGTCCCAGCTACTTGGACGGCTGAGTGGGGAGGATTGCTTGAGCCCAGGAGTTCAAGACTGCAGTGACCTATGATCATACCACGGCACTCCATCTTGGGTGACAGAACAAGCCCCTGTATCTAAAAAGTAAAATAAACAAATAAAAAAAAAAAAAGAGGAATGGGGACTGTAGGGACCCAATCCTCCAGATGCAATGAAATATAAATGCTACCTACGTTGTAAACGTTAACGGAGGACTCTTACCATAAGCAGAGATGTCGTTCTGAGGAAGACTAACACTGTTCAATAAGATTCATCCACACATGTAAGTTTCAAAAGTAACCCCTGGCTAGGCACATTGGCTCCCTCCTGTAATCCCAGCACTTTGGGAAGCCAAGGTGGAAGGATCCCTTGAACCCAGGAGTCTGAGACCAGCCTTGGCAACAAAGCAAGACCCTGTTTCTACAAAAAAATTTTAAAAATTAGCAGAGAATGGTGGTGTGTGCCTGCGGTC